ATTAGCCTCTCTTGGCTCGTCTATTAAGAAATGTCACCCCAAGAAGTAACAGGGCAAGTCTCAGCACCCTGTGAGCAAATGACCCGGGACCCCTGGTCCTGCGCAGCCCGGGGCAGGGAGCAGAGGGAGGTTCAACCAGCCGGGCTCCCCTGGGAGTCCCCTCTGCTGACTCACTGGATGGCCTCAGGCTTCCTGCGCGTCAGGTGGGTGAGGAGGCACAACTGGATGACTTGGGGGTGGGGGTGCTCCTCACACATGCGCCTGGCAGGTGTGAGCGCCATGCATTAAAATATGATAGGATTCTTCTTGCCTGCGTACTAGAACGTGCGGTTAAGGCCTGCAGGCTGTCGTTTGGGGCTGAGCACGCGGCCCCCTGTGTGTGGGCTTTGTTTTTTCTTTTTAACGGGATTTTAGGGGGTGCCGACTATATGTGATTTTCTTTCTTTTTTTTTAGTTTAAAGATCTTATTTATTTACTTGAGAGAGCAAAGAGAGCGAGAGCACGAGTGGGGGTGAGGGGCAGAAGGACAGGGAGAAGCAGACTCCCTGCTGAGCAGGGAGCCCGATGCGGGGCTCGATCCCAGGACCCTGGGATCACGACCTGAGCTGAGGGCAGATGCTTAACGACTGAGCCACCCAGGCGCCCCTACGCGATTTTCATCTTATGTTTACAATATAGGTGGCCCGGTCCTGTGGATGATGAGGCTGCACTGGGGATGCATCTGGATTCTGAAGTTGAGGGGGCTGAGGGCCTGGCCCCACCCTTCACCCGTCTTCTGGCTCCTGGCCTGGCTCACTCTCTTGGTGTCTCCCCAGTGCCCACAGGGGCCCCCTTAAATACCATGAGACCATGGCAATTCTACTTCCAGGCACACAGTGAGCGGGAACACAAACCATGTGTTCTAGAATGTTCGCGGCAGCTCTACTTCTAAGATCCTCAAACTGTAAACTACCCAAACGTTCACCAAAGGTGGAAGGCACCCACTGGCGTATGCACACACTAGAATACTACACAGCAACGGGAAAAGACAAGTGCCATACACAACACGGGCAGAACCGCTTGCCGAGTAAAGAAATCAGGTCGCTGAGATTGCCTCGGGATGAAATTCGCAAGCTGACGGACGGATCCGGGGTGGGCGGTGCCCCGGGTGGGGGCACCTGGGACTTGGGGGGCTGGTGCTGCCCTTTCTGTCGCTCTGAGTGCCTGTTATATACAAGAGTGTTCAGTTGGTAACAATTCACGGGCTGTTCATTTGTGCCCTTCTCTGTACGCAAGTTAATCAAAAGTTCAAAATTAAAACAGAGACCTCAGCCTCCTTTCTTCAGTGCCTCCCGAGGCTCCTCACTTGGCTCGGGGTGAAGTACAGAACCCGTCTTGGCCTGTGTGGTCAATGTCGGCACGCCACCAAATACTTCCTCGTCGTCTCGGCCATGGGTGGCACGTGTCTCCCCTTCCCCCACCGTCCCCCAAGAAGTCAGGGTATTGGGGGGGCACCCGTGTTGGTCAATGGAATTCAAGTGACAGTGACAAGTGCTGGTTTAGGGAAGAACTGCACAAACCCATATGCCTCCGTCTCTTTCCCTCTGTGGCACGCAAGTGTTCCAGAAGGCTGCTGCACCGTCTGCTTGGATCCCTCGGTGACAGCAGTGAGCTGTCCCTCTGCTGTCTGGTCACAGACACGGCACCAACGAGGGATAAACCCTGTTTGAAGGTGCCAATCTTTCGGGGATGTTCGTTATGCGGCACGACTAGCCCATCCGGCCTAGTATACCGGGCATTCAAGGCTCTCTGTGGCCTGTTCCCTGACCTCTCCGGCTTTGCGAACTGGAAACATTCTGGCTGTGAGTGTGCTGGGACATCAGTTGTACAAACACACTGGGTTTTGTTGTTGCTTTTTGTTTTTCATGTCCTGTGTCTTTGGCACTCCCCGGCATGCCCCCCCCCCCCCCTGCCTCCCAGGCAGACTGCCGCATGTGGTGGCTCCCCCTCCTCGATCCCGTGGCCCCAGCCGAATCCCCCTCTCTTGCTGCTTTCCGCGGCTCCTTGAAGGCAGGCGTTGAGTTGGTGAGCAATCATTATTTCCCACGAGAACAAGCAAGGAGGGGAATAAAGACACACAGACGTGACCTCCAGCTCCTCAGGGGGGACCTCAAAGGCAGCTCCCACTTGAGCGATCACAAAGCCAGGTGCAGCCGGGAGGCTGTGAGCCTGGTGGCTCTCCAGGCCCCCTCCCAGCAGTGGCCAGGCTCCTGCGCCAACTCCTGCAGCTCCTGCAGCGGGTCTTACACCTCTCCTCCCTACTCACGGTTCTGTGGGCCGCCACCCCCACCAGAGGACCTCCTGCTGGCTGGGGAAAGTTGGGGGGTACAAGGAAGGATCTGGGGGCCCCTGGGGGGAAACGGTGCTGCCGATTAACCTATTTTAGATGATATAGATTGGAACCCCACGGAAAGGATGTTTTTTTTCCCCCCGAAAGGCCTCCATTTGAAGCCACGTGATAAGTGATCCCAGCTCAGCACTGGCCTCGGATTCCCAGCTAGGAGTGCTGCCAGGGAACCTCCCAGGGCAGCAGAGTTTCAGAGTGGCCAATCATTGGGTAGCCCTGGGGGAACCTTGGCTGTGTTTTGCTCCAGCCCGGTGACAGGACAGGGCTGAATGGGAGACGCGTGGGCAAGAGTCTGGGGGTGCATCAGGGAGCCAATCGGCCATGGAAGCAAAGGCCTCCTGGACCCCCTGTGTCCCTAGGACCCCTCTTAATTCCACTGAATTGTCTCTACCTGCTCCTCCCCACGAGTCCCAAATGCCCAGCCAGTCACAGCAGGGAGGGCTCCGAGTGCGTACCCCTCTTCCTCTGCACTGCCACGGGAGAGCTTGAAAGCTCAGAGAGGGTGGGCTGCTTGCTCAAAATCATACAGGAGAGCTAGTATGGTGGGCTAGCTTTCCTGCCTTGGTGTGGGGGGCTCCCTGGCTGCCAGGGGTGTAGAACTTCCCCTCGGGTCAGACTGAACCCCTTGGCTCAGCCTGCACTGTTCCATGTGAGGCCACCCCTCTCCAGCTCCCCGCCCCCACATGCTCTCCAGCCACTGGCTCCTTGTGCACATCAGGCCCTGACCTCCAGGCCTTTGCACACACACCCTTCCCTTTGCCTGGGCCCCCAAATCTCTGCCCCAAAGCCGCCTCTTCCTGGAAGCCCTCCCTGACTGCTCACCTAAGGGAGCCCTCCACCCCCACAGCCCTTCCCACTCTCTGAAATCACCTCCCTCACGTATTTGTTGACTCACCTTTTGTCAGTCTGCCCCAAGGATGGTAAGCTCCATGAGGCAGAGGGTCCCAGTCCTGAGCCAAGCACAGGGCCCGAGGCGGGGAGTGAAGCCTGTGGCTACTCCCAGGTTCCGGGACATCCTTACGTTCACGAGTTCCTGGTTCAGCCTGCAGGTCCTTGGGCCCCGGGAGTCCTCCCTCCCTTCAGCCTGCACCTGCTGGCCCACCTCCTGAATCTGCTCTCCCTCCTCAGACTCTGCCATCTTTCTCTCAGCCCTGCCCCCTGCTCAGACCCCTCCCAGCCCCCTGGCACCCAGGAGACGGTGTCCCTACCTCATTGGCCTGGCATTCAGGGGTGACCTCCACCCACCTTCCCAGCTTCCAAACCTCGTGCCCCAGCAACTGGACACCCCGAGGAGCTCTGTGCACCTAGCAGCTCTTTCATTCCCCCCAACCTTCGAACACACCGGGCACGATCCTGGGGTGTGCCTCCCCCTCCTAGTCTGCCTGGCACCAGGCTAGTAGTAGCAGGTCTCCTTACCTCAGCTCAAGACCACCAACTCTCAACTCTCGCTGTGACTTCCCAACAGACACCTTCCCGGTCTCCCTCCCAGGCCCCCCCACCGTCCACTGTCTCATCGGTCACTGGCCCGTCGCCGTCTGACGGTATCTGCCTCCCAGCGAGCTGCCGCTTCTGCTTCCCTCACCGTGCCCCCCGCCCCATGCCGGGCACCCAGTAGGTGCTCAGAGAAAGCTAAGGAAGAGTGCTGGTGGATGTGGATGCTGAGCACAGCGGGGACAAGGAACTAGCCCAAGGTTATACAGAGAGGAAATGGGGGAGCTAGGACTTGAACCCAGGACTCCAAGACACAGGCTGGTTTCACCGCCATGGGCCACTGCCATCCAAGCACGCAGTTCGAGGACGCTCCAGGGGCTCTGGGGATGGGGCCATCTGTCGGGGCTCCTTCCCGGGCTCCTCCTGCCATCTCCCCACAGCCATGCCTTGTGGCCAAACTGCTCCTCCCATAAGCCAATCCCCAAATTCTGGGAGGTGAGGGCTTCTCCCTGGGGCCTTTCTCGGTGTGGCCCTGGGCGGCTGGGGCTGGGTGGACGGTGCCACCATTTGGCAGCTGAGGAAACCAAAGCTCAGAGAGGTTAAGGGATCTGCCCCCGGCCACACAGCTGGTTTCCACCTCTGGTTCTGAGAAGCTATCTGGCTTCTGGGTGGGGGCTCTGGGAGTGGGCAATGGGCTGCAGGGGCCCCTCTCCAAAGCAGGGAAACCTGGGGCCAGGGCTCCAACTGAGCTGCCATCAACCCCCAGCACCCAGAAGCTCCCAAAAGGCCAAGGGGTACTGGACTGAGCCAAACTTTTGGGTATAGTCTGGGTGACTTTGGCCTTGATGCCAAGCCTCCTCCGGATCTCTGGCTCCTGAAGCTTTCCTCAGGGTCGCTGGGCCCTCACTGTCTACCTTTTGATCACCATAGTGTTGAACATACACTCACATGTCCTGGGCACTCGTCCGTCTCTCCCCCAAACCTGGCAGCACGGTGGGGGCAGAACCTCGTCAAGATCTCCAGGCCTGCCCACACAGGGTTCTGACCAGGAGGGAGCCCTTAGCAAATGTCTGTGAAGTGAGTGAATGGACCGTTATGCGTTTCCTTCCCTTCTGTAATGGTCCACGGGCCGCCTCCTCCAGGATGCCCTCCCTGAACACCCTACCCCCTCTACCCTAATCAGTGGGAGCCCTTAGTAAGCACAGATCTCACCCCCAGACTCAATTTAACCCCAGAGCTAAATCACAGCATCCCTGTGGGCTCCACCCAACTTCTGCTCACTCACCTCTGGGGATGGAGTGCTCACCTCTTTCTAGAATTCTTCAGTCAGCACCTACTGGGTGCTAGCCTCTGTGCTGGGTGCTGGGTGCTGGGTGCAGCAGCAGGAAAGCTGAGGCTTCTGCCCCCGAAACAAGCACCGGACATTCTAGGTCAGCTGGGTCCCCTCCGGGTGGCTCAGCTCTTGGCAACCTTCACCCCTGGATACGTGAGGACATGGAGAACTATTCCCAATGCATTAAGTGAGAAAAGCAGGTCACCACAGGGATGCAGCAAGACTATGATGCCACTTCGGTCTTAAAAAAAAATCTGTAACTGCCTGGTTCTGGAGCAACTGGGCCCAAAATGTGACCCGGCCATCGGCAGGTGGTAAAGGTCCCAGGGGAGCCTTATTTTCCTGAGCCTCTTGTCTATTTGCTGAATTTTCCACAATGAACGTATATTATTCGTCACTAGGGGGGAACTCTGCCAATTGACGCCTCCTCTTGGCTGGGCTGAAGTCTGCGTCCCCGTTTGTGTCCTGCTTTCTGGAGCACCACAGAGCAAGTGAGAGAACTTGTGGGAAGCACCCTGTAGGCTCCCTGCCCGGGGGGGCTTGCGCTTCTCCAGGTAACCCCCCAGACCCTCACCTGGGCCCTGGCCGGCCCCACGAGCAAAGGCCTCACATCCTGCCCACGCTTCGCTTCCCTTGTGGAGTCTGTACTGATCTGCGCGCCCCCCCCGCCGCCCCCGCCACTGTGATGACAAGTTCCCCACGGCAGAGACCGCAGGCCCAACACGGGGCTGGGCATACAGTAAGTGCCTCATAACAGCCTGCGGAGAGGGGCCTCTGCTTCATGCCTAGCAAGTGGTCTCCCCTCTCCAGGACGACGACGAGGGTGCTAACGGCAGCACCTGCAGGTGGGAGCGATTCACCCACCCCAGCGTCCCTGAACTGGAACCAGAGAGACGACATCTATGGCTCTTCTGCAGGCCCAGATCCGACTTTGTTCCTCCCTAGTCTAAAATCTTCCATAGCTCCCCAGTGTCCTGAAATAACCACCCCCACTCTGAGCTTTGCATCCAAGGTCTTGTACCCTCTGGCCCCTGGTCCCTCCCCCAGGTCCTCTCCTCCACCAAAACAGGTCAGCTTATAGTCCACCGGCCAACGGGTCTGCTTCATGCCCCTGGGCCTTTGCATATGTTAGTCCCTGTCTCCAGAACAGGCGGACCCACCCCTATTCATCCTTCAGAACCCTGCCCAGGTGCCGGCTCCTGGGAAGAGCTCTTCCTGATCCCTTACCCTCCCCCAGATCTGGTGAGTTGCCCCTCCCATTCCTGCTCTTCAAACACACATTGATTATCGCACTCAATGCAATTAAGGGTTGACAAGTCTGTCTCCTACCAAACCGGACGCGACGGGGACTGGGCCTTTTGTCTTTGTTTTAAATCCCCGGTGCCCAGATACCGCCTGCAGACAAACAGGCACTCAGGAGCGTCTCGCTGACAGGTGGGTGAGTCGGTAAACAACATCTGCACAGCCCTTTACAGTTTACGAAGCCTTTTCCCGTCCTCCACCTCACTGGGTGCCTTTCACCAGGGCGGCAGGGAGGGGAGGCTCGGGCTGCCTTCGAAGGGCCTTGGGGGCCCCCTTCTCCCCGCCTGGGCAAGAGCTGAGTCTTGCCAGGCCCCTCCGCAGGGCTCCCCAAGAGCAGCCCGGACACCCTTTCAGCAGGAAGCCAACTGTTTCCCCTGCCGAGGGCTCCCCCCCGCCCCCTGGGGGAGCCGCTGGCTGGTGCCCAGGTGGCGGCCGGTTGGGTAGAGGCTGGGGTGAGGCCGCCATCCCGCCCGGAGCTGTGGGATGCGTTGGGCTGGAGCAGCATCTCCACCAGCGAGTCTTGGTAACAGTTGCTATGTAAAACGCTCGGAGGGGGAATTTACTGTCAGCGTTAATAATAGATGAAGGTTTCAGAATTTTTGATGCCTTACGTTCTAAGCTGTTTGATTTATAATGTCTCTGGAAAGGGAGAGATGAGGGGGGGGGGCGAGGGAGGAGGCCCAGAGGCGTGAGCTGGGAGCTCGTGCCTCGCCCCCTCCCCCACCTTTGACAGACCAGGAGGGAAACTGAGGCCCGAGGGGAGAAGCCACGGAGCCATGTGACCTGGTGCCCGATGCCGCCTGGGTCCAACGGGAGGAGAAACTAAGTCCCGGCCCCTCCCGCCCTGCGCCCGGGGTTGTTTTGATGGATTACGGCTTCTCCTTTTAGCGTGAGCAGGTGTATCTCAAGTAGTCTCCGGAAGCGGTGCTGATGGGCGCCTGTGGCGGGGGCTGTGTGGGGCTGATTACAGGCGCTCAGAAGGCAAAATGCAAGTCGCAACTTCCCTTCTGCTTAGCTGCCAGTGGTGGTTATTGTTGAGTCGGGGGGGAAAAGTATCCTCCCTTGGAGAGCAGGCGGCCCGGCTGGGCAGGAAGCAGGGCCGTTGGCCCGGCTCCTCAGAGCCTGAGGGGCTGGAGCGGGGGGAGAGGGGGCAGGGGCGTGGGGCGCCGTCCTGGATGCAGGAGGCCCGGCCCCACGGTGGCCGCTGGGTCCCCTGTACACATGCCCGCACACACACCGGAGCTTGGGCTCAGGCCACCCCCACGTGTGGCAAAGCTGCTCCCCTGCGGAGGTGACCCCAAATTGAGCTGGTTTTAGAGGGGGTGCCTTCCCTTTGGGCTTTCCCACCAAGCCTTTGCCCATGCTGCTGTTTTCATCTGGGATTCTCTCCCGCCTCTTCCAACCCTCCTTGGCCTCTTAGGCCAGGCTAGGAAAGCTTCCCTGAGTCAGCAGCCGGACGGGCTCTCTCCTCCCTGGATCCCCAAGACCCCGGTCTTTGGGCCAGAGAAACTGGGCCTGGGGGGGGTGTCCCAACACCCAGATGACACCCCCTCACCTCCACAGCTCTGTCCCCAAAAGTCACGTCATCTCCCACTTACAAATGGGGGTGTGTCTGGGCTCATTCCTGCCTCATTCCTCAGGCCCTGAACGCATGCAGGAGCCCGCACGACCACCACTCCAAGCAGATGGGAGAACTCTGCCCCTCCCTGGCCTCCATTTCCCCCTGCAGGGATCCGCTGCCCAGCATTCGGCACAGGCCTGGTGCGGACCCACCAGTAGCTATGGGGCCCGTAGGAGGAGAGCGACACCCCGTCCCCCACAGACACCCTCTTGGGGCAGCACGTGAGGGCCCACAAACTCTGCAGAGCTGTTAATAACAGTGACCATAACCGTGACCAGAACACCATCCTTGCTGGCTAAGCCCCTCACCCCAGAGAGAGAGGCCTGCTCTGACCGACTCTACAGCAGCCCCCTCTCCCCGGCCGCCCATCCCACGTTCCTGCTTCATCACTGACTGGCTCACCTGCTTTTTTCAGGGTCCCCCATTCACACATCCGCTTCACAGACAAGGGCTTTTGTATGTGCTGACCACCACTGTGCCCTTAGCACCTGGAACAGCCTGGCATACAGCAGGTGCTCGCCAGGCACTGAGCTGAATGCATAAAGGAAGGAAGGAAGGAAGGAACACTGCCTCTGTGTGTTGTGCGGAGCCCTCCCTGAGCCCTCCCAGAAACCAGGGCGGCCTGAGGGCATGGGGCTCAGCAGCGGGGTGCAAGGGCATGGGTACAGTCACGGGCTTCATCCCCCCACTCATTCACTCCTGCTGCACCCAGGCGTCCCCGGGCACCCGCCACTTCAGGGCCTGCGCTGGGCTCTTAAGTGTGCTAGACTCCAGAGTGCCCTCAAGTGGGGACCCTGCAGCTCCCATCCCAAGGGGAGCCAGGACACACAGACCTACCCACAGGCTCTTAATCACCCATACCCCAAGGAGGCAGCCCTGGCCCTCCTGACCCTCCAGAGCGGCTGGGGCTCAGGCAAGGACTGGGGGCATGGAGGGCTCTCCGGTGCTGACAGGGTGGCTGAGCCCCAAGGCAGAGGCTTCTCCCTGGAGGTAAGGAGATCTCCGGGGAGGTCTGCCTTGCCAGCCCCCACCCCCTGTCCGACTCCTCCAGGAAGTCAGCCCCTGCAGGAACTGAGTATCGCTCACTCACCAACTACTCTAAGGCCCTCCTCTGAGGCAGGTCCTGTGGGGCACATGCTGGGGACACGGAAGAATGGGACATGGTCTCCAGCTGGAGGACACCCCAAGAGTCACACTGATTATATTATCTGCAAGAGAGGCTGGGGGGGGGGACTGCGGAGTGCCAGGTGCCGGATCAGGAGCTGGGCTTTGTTCGGAGAGCCACGAAGTGACTCAGTCCTATCTGTGGGTGAAGGGCTCGGGGAGGGCATGGCTAGGCCCAGGCTAGGAGAGATGAGCAGGGAAGAAGAGATGGGGTGTGTGTGTGCGCGCGCGCGCCTGTGTGTGGGGGCGTGCCCCCTTTCCTGGCTCAGGAAAGCACCCCTGTTGGTGGGAACCCCGACTGATGGTGACTGAGAGCGCTGCCTGCGGACGGGGCCTTAAGCGATCATGGACCCCCGACATCTTCAGTCCCCAGAGGGCGGGGATCCCTGAGGAGGCTGTGTGCAGCCCGTAGGTGGGGAGGGTCTGAGGGTCTCCAGGAGAGAGGACCCCGGCGTGGAGAGCTCTGCTTCAGGGGTGTGGCAGCCTCTGGCCTCCCCGAGCTTCCTGGTCTGGGCTCTGCTGCCCTCCGGCAGGCTGAGCTGGGATGGGAAGTCACTGAGGGTGGCCGCCGGGACCTGGGCAAACAGGAAATGCCAACTCACCCTTGCAGTCGGCTCCGGTGCCCGATGCTCCCCTTGGCCTGTGTAACCCCAAGTCTGAGCCTCTCCTTCCTGCTCCAGCTCCTCCCACCCCAGGCCTCCCCGTCTTGCCGCCTTCACCAACCCCGCTTGCCAGGCCTTCTCATATGATGGTCATGAAGCCAAGCTGCTAGGAGCCTTGAGCCCACTTCATCAGCCACTTATCACTCGTTCATTCAGCAAAGCTGCATTTTACACCGTGTGCCAAGGCCCTGTGTCTAGGGCTCTCAGATCAGCGCTGGGGTGCTGCCAGGCTGCTGGGGAGACAGTGCATAAACAGGCCTGCCAAACCAGGGTGGCAGCACTGTGACAGGAAAGCCCGGGCTGCACGAGCCCAGAGGAGGCCTCTAACCAGTCCAAAGGTCAGGGAAGGCTTCCAGAATGCCGGCTGCAGGGTGTGAGGTGTGGTCAGGCAGGGCCTGAGCGACTGCCTCTCCCCCTCCTTGGCTCCTTTCTGGCCCACTCCAGAGCTTTCGTTCATCAAGTCTCCCCAGATAGGTAGATCTTCTCCACCCTAAAAGACCACCTTCCGCAGAGCCTCAGTTTTCCTGATGTATAGAATGGACCCAATGAGTCCCTCAATGTCAACTGGGTGAATATTTACATGCTAGGTGCTCCCCTACCTACTATTCTCCTCCCCACTCTCTGCTGAGACACAGGCCCAGCTGCCCTGACCATTTTCCTATCCCAAGCGAAGCCTGTGGGCAGCTCTCAACCACTGCCCAGTAAAAGCCCAGGATTCTAGAAGCACCAGGAACCAAGTGTTAGTGGGTGAGGGC